AAAAAAAAAAAAAAAAAAAAAAAAAAAAAAAAAAGTTGTCCTCTGAACTCCACAATGTCCATGTAACACATACATGCCTGTTTACACACAGAGAGATACAGATAATACATTTTTTAAATATTCATAATTTTATAAGAATAATAAAATAGATACCAAAACATGGACCAAGCTTGTGAGCAAAACTTCACAAAGAGAGATAAACAGCTCATGCACACATGAAAAGAACCCTACTGCATGAGGTGTGGGTCATAGAAACCCATCCAGGGCACTCCTACCACCAAATGCTAGCAAGCGTGCAGACAGCTTTAGCCCCTACACTACCCACAGACTGACATGGCACAGCACTGGAGACAGTCCGCAGGTTCCTTATAAGACAAAGTACAGGCCTACCTCTAACCCAGCTACTCCAGTCTGATGCGTTTACCTGAGATAAACAAAAGACGTGCATAAGCATGCTCACAGCAATTTCATTCAAAATGGCCTCATACTGGGACCAACCTAGGGATCCATCAACGGAAGGCTAAACACTGTCTTACACATACAGTGACTACAGCAGGGAAGCAACCTAACAAATGCAAAGGTTTCCAAGTGACAAAAAGCTTGGAGCAAAGAACTTAGGCTGTGTACCTATATTTAAAGTACATCCCAGAATAAGCTAGCAAGTCTACAGATGAAGGACAGAAGAATGATGGCAGCCTTGGGGTACTGGAGGAGCAGGGTCTAACTGAAGGGGTGCTGGCAAACAAAAAGGGGTATACATTTCTCAGGACTTACCAAGCAGTAAAGGAAGACCTGTGCGTTTTATGTCAATTTTACCTCCAGATCTAATCTTGTTTTTCTGCAAGACTGGGGCAGTGGAGTGGGCAGAGCCTACTGCTTGCTTTGAACTATGTCAAAAGTAAGACGCTAAGGGACAGAAGGGATGGAGGAGAAGGCGGCTGTTCAGGGACAGTACAATTACTTCAACTCTGTGGTGTTTGAAAATCATTCACAATAAAGCTATGATGAAAATTTTATATCATTTTAAAGAAGACTAAAATTCAACTTTCAACCAAAGTGACTGCTTTCCTTGATATGAAAAATCACCTGGCTAGTAGGAAGTATATATGCAGGTCCTCCAAATAATGACTAAAGGTACTGTATCCTCCTTTGATAAACCTCTACTTCTAACATGGGTGCTGGAGTTTCGTAAGTCAAGAGAAAAGTCAAGGTCTGACCAAAGCCCTGAGCATGCAAGAACCCCAAATTCCAAGGGGCAGAACCACTTTGTGACTGCATCTGAGCCCTACCATATCCTGACAGGTGGTACTTGTGTTCAGCGAGCCTCTAGCTCCAGTTGTTAAGGAGAAACGTAAACACAGCAAAGAGTGGGAAATGAAAAGCCGCTAGAGGCTGGACTTTCTGGAGGGCTGGAAAAGGCGTGTGAGATTCCCTCAGGCCATCCACAGCTTTGACAAAGTCTGAAAATGCCAACTACACCAACCTGGCCCCAATGCAGTCAATGCCGGAGGTCAGATCAGTTTCTCTGTAAACAGCAGGCTAATGGCCAACCACAACATCTGACTGGCTGAGCTTGGTGGAAGAACATTTGCAGACAAGATCTGATTTAAAACTGAGATTCACCAAAGGGCTAAAGCTTAGACATTTAAATGAAGCAGAACTAGAGCAAACATGGAATTTATTTTTTCTTCCTTTCAGCATGAAGGCTTGAACCTAAGACCTGGCACATACAGCTTTCTACCACTAAGCTAAATCCCTAGCCTATCCCCTATCTTTTCACGTTTGAGCTACAGGCAGGGTTCAAGTTACCCTGTGTACTGTCTGGTTTTGTGTGTCAACTTGGCACAAGCTAGAGTCATCAGGGAAGGAGCCTCAGCTGAGGAAAGGCCTCCTTGAGATCCAGCTGGAAGGCACTTTCTCAATTAGTGATCAAGAGGGGAGGGCTCAGCCTGTGGTGGGTGGGGCCATCCCTGGGCTGGTGGTCCTGGGTTCTGTAAGAAGGTGGGCTAGGCAAGCCATGGGAAACAAGCCAGTAAGCAGCACCCTCCATGGTCTTTGCCTCCAGAATCCTGCCCTGTTTGAGTTCCTGTCCTGACTTCCTTCAGAGATGAACAGCAATGCTGAAGTGTAAGCCAAGTAAACCCTTTCCTCCCCAGCTTGCTTTTTGGTAATGGTGTTTGGTCACAGCAACAGAAACCCTAATTAAGACACCCAGACTATTCTTGAACTTGAACATGCTAAAGTCCAGGCTGACCTTGAACTTGAGATTCTCTTAACTCAGCCTCTCATTAGGTTGGGATTACAAGCCTGTATCTCCAGGCCCAGCTATGGAATTTGTTTATACAGCCTCACATATGAAATGTTTCCGTAGCTACCCAAAGATAGAAACAAGAGAAATGGCCATTCTACATGCAATCTGAAAAAGATCTGTGTCCGTAACAGTCAGCAGATGAATGGGCCAGGGGAAACCACCCAACTAACACCACCATTACAGGACCCCAAGACATATAGAAAAACTGGCCTCGCACTCACCACAGGCCACTTCTCACATCTCCTGGACCCTCCTGCTCTAACTGACTGTTCCCTGGACAGTACTATCCAGTAAGTTTCTTCTCAGCCCAGCCACAGTACCTCTAGACAGGAACTCTCAGGATGCTCCGTCAGGCAAGGCACTAAGAATGCAGCAAGCCATCCTGAACTCTGTCTGCAATCAGGATGAGTCACCCCCACAGGGCTCTGCACCTACTGCCCACTAACAACACTGATGTCTGCCATCTACACGGTACTGATGCCCGCTGTCTGTACAACACCAGCACCTGCTGTCTGAATGACATTTGCATTCTGTTCTCTACACAACCCTGAAACCTGCGGTCTACACACTAATACCTGCTGTCTACAGAAGGCTGCAGCTTGTTCTCTATACACACAGGTGCATGCTGTCCATGCTGACACATGCTTTCTGTACAGCACTGACACTCGTCTACACAGAACTGATGATACCTGCTGTCTACAGACTCCTGAGGCTTGCTCTCTGGCAACATGATGACGTGGAGGTTTTCCCTTCCCCATTTCCCTGAAAAGGTAACAGTCTAAGAAGCAAGGTCACCAAACTCCAGGGCAGAGGCAGGATTAAAACCCACACGGTTAGGGCCTGGAGCTCTTGGTGCAGCACAGTACAGACCCCTCACGAGAGGGTGACAGACTTGACAGAAGCCCTGCACTAGGACCATGAAAGAGAAGTAGGCTCACAGATCAGAGCTTTCCATATCTGTCTTCCTGAAACAGGAGCTAGAGACTGAGGGCATTCTTCACAGCTGCCTAGGCCAAATATATGAACTGAACAGAGCCTGGAATGGCTTGAGTTACCCCAGGCCTCAGGCAGCCCCAGCAACCAAGAACAGGTTCCACGAGAACTCAGTCCTCAGGACACCATCTACGGACACTACTGGCTTCAAAGCCCAACAGAACCAATGCTCTGGATGGTGTCTAATGACTCGGGACCCGCTGATGGGCTTCCTTAGTCCATCTCCATGGAAGGACTGGCCTCTCACCACTCCAGCAACCACCTGTGCCCGCAAGTTTCTCTGTGTGTGGCATTTCTCAGACAACTGACATAGCAACATAGCAACATTATCCTGACGTGTACAATGTGGCATGGCCCACATGTCTCCTCAAAGTCTCTGCCTTGACTGAGCCTCCTCCCACCAGATCCAGAGATGGCAGCCCTGCTTCTGCCGGCTCCCTCCCATGGTCTGTGCCTTTCCACTCACTGTGGTACTGCAAACAGTGAGTCAATTCCCACTCAGATCCACCTCTCATACTTGTCTCGCCTCTCCCAACTACTGGAGAGGGGTGCGGGACTTAGGCGGAAGCCACAGGAGCCTACTCTGTGTTCAGACCTTTGGAGATGCTCTTAAAGACGCCTTGATGCAGTCACTTGACTGGGCAGTTACTCTCCCACTTCAAGTTCTGGGCTTCTAAGTATATCTGTGCAGCCTAGCATCCTGATGGTCAGGGGACAGCAGCCCAAACACAGTTTAATCATCTGCTCACAGTCTGATAGAGGTTCTCCCTCTTGCCAAGGACAGCTGTGCCAGCTGAACCAGGAAAGCCAGGTACCATTGCTCTTCTATTCCCGAGGTCATCTGCTGCTCTGCAGAGCAAAGTGCAGAGGACAGGAAAGTAGCTTTAGTGAAAGTTCCTATCTCAAAAAATGAAGTGAAGAGGCCAGGGAGATAACTCAGTGGGTAAAGGTGCTTGCCACCAAACCTGAGAACCTGACTTTGATCCTTGGACTTACATGGTAGAAGAAGAACTCACTCTTATAAACGGTCCTCTACACCCCACATATACACTGCAGCACATATGCCCCACCCCCATAAAAAATAGAAGGACTGGGCTAAAAGATAAAATCTAGGAACTATCTCATACCAAAAGGGTGAGTAGATGGATGGAAAGGAAGCAAAGATATTTAAAAGCCTGGTGGGGCAGGCAGACTAAGCAAAATAGAAACAGGTAGAAAACAAATGACCTAACAAGTTCAAGGTGGGAGGTGGCCAAAGGGAGGGATCTACTGGAGAGAAGATGCCTGTGCTTAATGAGACAGCAGCACACCAAGGTTCCTGACATGATGGAGAGAAGAAACTATAAGCAGTACACAGACGACAGGAATGCATAGAAGACGGCACCAGGAGAAGCTGGGAGATACTGATGGAAGATTCTGCAGAACAAAAGATGGAATTCCTGACATATGTGCTGCCGACAGAGGTTAGTGCTGGGTGTCTGGGAAGTGCACAGGAGGACCAGACCTGAAACCTCAAGAAACAAAGCTGCAAAGGGAGGGGAAAAGCCAGAGGTCATGAGCTGTCCTCCTCCGCCATCCAAAAGGGGCAGGGACTTAACAGACTAGCCTAACTATACCCACCTTGGCAGCTGAGGTGGTCTGAATGAAGATGGCCCCCATAGATTGATCGAGTGGCATTACTGAAGGTGTGGCCTTGGTAGAACAGGTGTGGCCTTGCTGGAGGAAGTGTGTCACTAAGGGTGGGCTTTAAGGTTTCAGAAGCTCAGGTCAGGCCCAGTGTCACTCTCTTTTCCTGCTGCCTGCCAGTCCAGATACAGAACTCCCAGCTACCTTTCAAGCACCATGTCTGCCTGCATGCCACCATGCTCCCTGCCATGATGGTAATAGACTAAACCTCTGAACGTGTAAGCCATCCCCAATTAAATGTTTTCTTTTATAAGAGTTATCGTAGTCATGGTGTCTCTTCACAGCAATAGAAATCCTAATTGAGACGGCAGCTTAGAGAGGGAACTCTGCATCAGTTAGGACCAGACATCCAATAAGGAAACCGTTGATAACACCAACACCAAACTCCTGCAACTCCTAAGTCAACATTTAAGTAACCACCAAAGAACCGAGGTGGGGCTTCCACAACAAAGGATACGAGGTGTGCCTTCAGTTCGGCAAACCAAGTAGAGGCAGGCAGCAATCACGTGGGCCATTTTCCGTCCTCGGGTCAGATGCTTGCTTACAGCCATCTTGAAGAAGTTGAAGGCTGTGTCCAGGCAGTGCTGGTTCAGCTGCAGCTGGCTTCCCAAGTGGTGGATGTGGCGCCGCCCTAGGATAGAATACAGAATGACCCTCAGTCACAATTTTCAATTTAAAATTAAGTATCACAAGAGCACCTTTAAGATTTGAGCAAAGCCTGTTAGTGTAGACATGTAATTTTACCTACTTGGGAGATTAAGGCAAGAGGATCACAATTTCAAGACCAGCCTGGGCCAGGCATGAGGAACCAGAACACAGAGAATGAGGCACAGAAGAACAGGGAAGGACTTGGTGATTCACTCACTGGCTTTTCTTCATCCCTTTTGGTCTAGGAAGTATGGAGGAAAGGTCAGCTGGTCACTCCTCCACTGCTTCTTTGATCTATAAGGTTTTCACCCCAATATTTGACTACTGAATCTTTATAGACTTATAAACTTCTAAGTATATAACTTATAGACTTACAGAACAATAGACTGTCTCAAAAAAGAGAAGAAGGTAGGAAGGAAAGAAGCAACATAGATCAATTCAAGAGACTCAGAATAATCAACACAGCACTCCTAAGAAAGAATTCTAAGAAGTATATACACCTCCCAATTTCAAATTCACCACAAAGCTAGTAGTCAAACAAGAGCATAACACATACAGCCCAGCAGCACAGAACAGAGGACCTAGAAATGATTCTCAATGAGGAAGGGTGCCAACTAGGAAAATATAGTCTTTTCCACAGAAACACTGGATATGCACACATAAAATGGAAGCTGGACCCAGTCTCTTACAAGAAACAACCCCAAAACACAACAGGCAACCCAGATGGTCAACCCCAGACAACAGAAGATATAAGCATCAGTTTGTGGGTATGTACATGCACATGCACACCCATGATCACACCTGTGGAGGCCAGAGGTAGACACTGGGTGAGTCCTCTATCACTCAGCTCCTTTTTGAGATAGAGTCTCTCACTAAACCTGGAGCTTCCCATTTTGACTAGACTGGCTGTCCTGTCTCTCTTTCTTCAGTGCCGGGAATGACAGGTTCACACCAGCATGCTCAGTGTTTCATATGCTCACCTGGGGCCCTAACTCAGGATCTCACGTCTGCACAGCAAGCACTTCACCCACTGAGCTGCCCCCAGCCCCAGAGTCAGTGAGTGATCAGACAAGGCATAAGATAAACTGAACAACATCAGAATGAGAAAAACAAGGAGCTGGAGAGATGGCTCAGCCGCTAAAAGTGTTCACTGCTCTTGCAGAAGACTTGGTTCAGCTCCTAGTGCTTACATCTTGGCTCACAACCATCTTTAACTCCAGTTTCACATCTGAAACCCTCTTCTGACCTTCCAGAGCACCAGACACATGCATGGTGCACATACATACATGCAGATAAAACAACCATATACATTTTAAAATAAATCTTCTTTACTTTATACCATCAAGTACAGAGAAAAAGAAAACTTGTGAAAAGACAGCCCATGGAACAGGAGAAATTTTTCTGTGACATATATCTGGCAAAAGACTCCTAGGAAGGTGGCACAATGGCTCAGTGGGTAAAGCTACTTGCTGCCAAGATGGATGACCTGAGTTCAATCCCTAGAACTCACATAGTGGAGAGAACCATCTCCTGCAAGTTGTCAATAAATGTGCCATAGTAGGCACACATCCATGAATAAATATAAAGTAAGTGTGTGTGCACGTGCATATGTGTGTGTGTGTGTGTGTGTGTGTGTGTGTGTATTTTTTTTAAGGCTTGTAGCTAAAACCAGGTATATTGGTACATGCTCTTAATCCCAGAACTTGGGAGGCAGAGAGAAGCAGATCTCTGTGAGTTCAAGACCAGCCTGGTCTACATAGAGAGGTCCAGGACAGCTAAGGCTACATAGAGACCCTGTCTCAAAAAAACAAAACAATAAACATTATAGCTAAAATATATAAAGAACTTTTTCAATTCAATAAAGGCAAACAACTTAACTAAAAACAAGCAAAGCAAAAGAACAGATATTTCTCTTCTTTGTTGTGAACTGATTTATAAAACAATGAAAGGTCACATCTGCCAGGTCAAATGGCTATAAACTTGCTGGTTCTATGTCTATCTCCAGGAGACCAGGAGCAAACAGCTACAGACTGGCACCATCTGGGGGCCCTTCACTGAGGGGGCCTAGCAAGATCTGCAGAATGCCTAGAAGAAGGAGCACACTTCGGAATTATTCCTCCCAGAGAGCTACGGGCCCAGGGCTGCGAGGATGGCAAAAAGTAGCAGGCCACAGGGTAAGGCATGGGTAGAGCACTCCAGAGCAGAAGCAACAACTGAGGACCATTCTGCTCTTACCTCACCCCAGGATCTTGTCCCATCTCCCTCTCCTGTCCCACCCCATGGCCAGCAACGCTGAAGTGGACAATACCATTCTGTAGGGTCTGTGCTCTTGACTCCTTTCCCAAGTTCACATGGAAGCCACCTCCTAGGGTTGGGGTTTTGCCAGCACCTGGAAATATAAAAAACAGAGGTTAGCTAGAGCCTGGTAGAGAAGCCCCGAAGCCCCATTCACTGACTGTGAACAAAGGAGGATCCAGCATTCCAACAGGAACAGCAGCAGGCTAAGCAGAAGACTTTGCTCTGCCTAGCAAACAGATGTGGCCTTGACCAGAGGCATCCTAAACCTTTAAAAAAGAAAAAAATAGGGACTGACGAAATGATTGAGTAGCTAAGAACTCTTGTCTCCACGCCTGATGACTCGGACCCACATAGAAGAAGGGAAGAACTGATTCTATAAGTTGTCTTCTCCACACATATACCATAACACACCCCATAAATAAATGTAATTTTAAAAAGAACAAGAAAAGATATTCTATTGCTCTAATTAAAGTAGATATGTGCTTTTAATACAAGACAATCATGGGATCTGGAAAGATGGCTCAGCAGTTAAGAACAAGTACTGTTCTTAGACAGACTTAAGATAGGTTCCAAGTAAGGTCTTTCTCAACCACCTGTGACTCCAGTCCAGGGAAAGCCAACTCCTCTGGCCACTGTGGGCACCTGCACTAATATTCCTATACCCAAACAAAGATGCATACATAATTTAGAATAATAGAAATAAGATCTTAAAAAGCCCTTAAATTACATTGAAAAAGAATGGTGGCATTAGCCAGGCTGAGCACAGTGGTGCATGTCTGTAATCAGAATGCTAAGGCACATGGATCAGGAGCTGCAGGCCGATGCGAGGCTGCAGGCCCCCACCCCAAAGAGAAGACTTCCGCTTGAGATGAATGCTACTGCAATCTCTGCACTCCTCCACTCCAGCCCCACACCAATCACTGCCACTCCCACAGGCACGGGCTACCACCTCCCGCACCGGAACCCCCACACTTCTGCTTGGGCTCTTCTACCCGCAGTGGCCCTAGGAGCTACCTTCTGACTCTTGTTCCTGCCACCCTTCCATGTGTGAGTAGCTAGAGGAAACATGTGAAAAGCACTTACTCAGCAAGCTAAGGTGCTAGCGAACTCAGGCTCCCTCAAGTGTGAAAGAAGAAAGGCCAAATATAACCTCTACATGGAACTGCCAACTACAAATTCGCCTAGATCTTCAAATTTCAGATGTGCTTGACTTCTAAAAACACTGGGTGGGCTGGAGAGATGGCTCAGCCGTTAAAGGCTAGGCTCACAACCAAAATATAAAAACACTGGGTATTTTGCTTTTCTTTCCTTCCTCCCAGACAAGGTTTCACTATATAGCAAAAACTGATTTAAAACTCAGCCTCCCAAGTGCGTGGACTATAGACGTGCACTACTATGCTCAGCAAACGTTTGGTACTTTCTACAAGTTTCTGTAACAAAGAATATAGGCTGGAAGTATAACATAGATGGGCTTGGCAGAGTCTGCCCCCTCGTGGACAACAGAGAAGGAATCTACAATCACAGGCCACTTGGGGAAGATCGCCTCTGACTTAGCCAAGAGCAGAGAGGGTTGAACCCAAGACAACATGGGTATAAACAGATTGGATGAGCTTTGGAACAGACAATGCCACCCTCACATGACTAGACCTAGGAAGAGGGCCAGGAGACCTCAGTGCCCAGAAAGGCCTCTCCATAGCACTGTCCTTCATTTTTCTCACAGAGTCTCCAGAATGGAAAGTCTTTACAACTGTGTTGATTTGATATAGAAGACTAGAAAACTTGGAGGCCAGTCTGCACTACATAGCAAGACCCCCACCTTAAAAAAAAAAAGCCAGGGTGGTGGCCCACTCCTTTAACCCCAGCACTCAGGAGGCAGAGGCAGGCAGATCTCGTGAGTTCGAGGCCAGCCTGGTCTACAGAGTGAGTTCCAGGACAGCTACACAGGGAAACCCTGTCATGAAAAACAAAACCAAGAAAAGGTCCTTTGGCAGGTGAGATGGCTCAGCAGCTAAAAGAGCTTGCTATCACTCCTGACCACCTGAGTTTGATCACTAAGAGCTACATGGTGGCACATTTATGGACAACTTGCAGAAGATGAGTTCTGGTGATTAAACTCAGATCATCCATCTAGGCAGCAGTAGCTTTACCCATAACTTCCTTAAGTTAGCCTCTGAATTCTACACACACGCAGAGTGGCATGTGCATACGCATATAAATAAATGTAATACAAATGTTAAGTTCTGATTAGTGGGCTGGGGAGTACGTGCCTAGCACATGAGGCCCTGGATTCTACCCCAAACACCAAAAACAGTTCTGATTATTGGAACCTCAGGGAGTACTTCCAGCCTACTAACAAGGTTTGCTGCTCCCAGGATAGGGGAGGATAAACCCTGAGGAGGCAGGAGCCACAGGTTGCTTGGTGCAGGAGCTCTCTCTGCAACAAGCATTTTGAGAGTAGTCCCAAGTCCTGGGAAGGATGAAAAAGCACAAGGGTCGCCATTCACTGACAAAGGGAGGCCTCAGAGGACTTGGCACATGCTGGGAAGTGTGCATTACTGGAAACCCTGCTTAGCCCAGACTCCTCATGGTATGGCTCAAATTCCAACTTCTCCAGCTACCCACTGCCTTGCATTTGGCATCCGAATCTGCAGTCCTGATGCCCAGTACTTCCCTTGGCATAGGCTTCTTGAAAAGGCCTCTAAAACTTAATTACAGGTATAGGATGGTTAAGTTTCCCTAGCCAGAAACCTCCTGCTGCAGGACCTCATCACCCACTTGAGTGTATTAAGCATATATTCTAGAGTAGACTGTTACGTGTCCAGCTTAGGTTGCTGTAAGTAAGGACACCTAGGAAAGGACAGCAGTGTTAGAACCTATAAGACAGCCTCCAAGGAGAAACAACTTTACAATGAAGATGGAGGAAGGCCAAGATGAGCAAAGAGCACCAGGGACCTATGAGGGCAGGAAACGGGACAAGTCATCTGTTTCCTGCCTGTGTGGTCGTGCTGATTTGGGGTGGAGGGTGGTGTAGGCAGGAGCCACAAGAAAGATACCTGCTCAAAGCAGCTGACACCTCCTTCTTGTATAACCTACACCTTCTACCAAGGCTAAGAATTCATGACCCCACAGTGCATTCCCCAGGGCAGCCACGGCTGGTTGCTGGAGTGCTTCTCCCTGGAGAAATATCTTGATGCCACCTAAGGGCCCATCTGACTTTCACTTAAGGCTTTGGAACACGATTTCCAGGATGCATGGTAAGACCTCACTCCACCCTGGCTCTATACTATTTTCCCTGATGTTATGGGGGCACTATGTCACCAAGCCATGGGTGGACCTAGAAAAGTGTCTGCCAATGGAAAGCCCTAGACACCTGCTCCCAGAATGACCTGTTATTACTGTTGTTATCACTCCAACAGGCATCAACATTCTGGTAACTATTCAGGAGGCTGTAGACAATGTGTGGTAGAACCGCTGTCACAGCAGTCCCGAAGACACCCTTGGGAAGTCACCTACAAAGGATAAGAACTCGTGTGACATGTGAAACATACCACAGAGAAGGAAAAGCAGGAGGGAAAGGTCAACCTCGAGTCAATGTTTTTTTGTAGATATCAACAAAACTGGTAAACCAGCAAGAAAGACAAAGAGAAACACAGACACTAACATCTAAGGAAAAGGGACATCTATCTTTCAGACATCTAGGACATGGGCTGGGGGTAAAGCTCAGGGGCAGACCACTTGCTTAGCTCGCTCACACACACACACACACACACACACACACACACACACACACACACACACGATGAATCCCATAACCAGATGGATCCATTCCTCAAACCTGAATTCCCAAACAAGTCAGAAACTATCTGAAACGTAACTACAACCACTACTATGACAGAAGCTGAAAAGAAACCCCTAAGTCCAACTGGCTACACTGGAGAAGTAGACCTAATATTTAATTAAGACAGGACCAAGAAGTGGGAGGCACACACCTGTAATCTTGGCTATGTAGAAGGCTTAGAGGCAAGAACATCATGAGTTTGGGGTCAGTCTAAGTTACACAGTGAAACTAGGAAAGAAAAAAAGAGCAGATTGCATTGTTTGTACACAGTCCCTTCCACAAAGTAAGTGGGGCACTGCTCACTTGTTTCAGGAGTGTATTACTTTGATACCTAAGGCTGACAGGTGTTAAACACAGACCAATATCCCAGGTAAACAGAGATTAAAATCTACCAGCATGTCCAAAGGATAATACCCCAAGTGAGCTCACTTCTGGAACGCACAGCAGATTCAAGAATCTGCCATTGGGGGAAGGGGAAAATGAAGAATCTGCCACAGGGGCTGGAGGGATGGTTCAGTGGATTAAATGCTTGCAATGCAAGCGTGACTGAAGTGCAGATCCCCAGAACTCACGTAAAGGCTGGTCAGGTGTGGTAGCCATCTATAACCCAGCATTTGGGAGGCCGAGAGAGGGAATCCCTTGGTCAAAACTGGCTAGCTGGAGTAGCCAGTTCAGCAAAAGACCTTGACTTAATAAATAAAATGTAGAAATATCAAGTAAGGTACCCGATGCCAACTTTGGGCCTCCTCACTCATGCAAACACACATGCATGTATGCCTACAAACACACACACACACACACACACACACACACACACACACACACACACCCCCTACACAGAATCAGCCACACAGAGTCTGGTGGTGCATGCTTGTAATCCCAGTGCTTGGGAGGCTGAGGCAAGGATATTGCTGAAAGTTTGAGGCCAGCCAGTCTACATAGGGACACCCTGTCTCAAAAAACAACCAAAAGAAGTTAGGTCTTGTAGGCTCATAACTCCAACTACTTAGGAGGCTGAAGCAGGAGGAGTGCAAGTTCAAGGCCAGCCTGGACAACTTGGCAAAACCCTGACTCAAAACAAAGTGTAAAGAGGGGGCTGGAAATACAGCTCAGTGGCAGAGCACTTGTTTAGCATGAGTAAGACTGGGTTCCAGCCCAGAACCATACACACAAATACATATAAATATGCATATATACAATTACTCTACGACAGAAGGGAAGGTGACCACAAATCTACAATTCTAAAAAGACTCACAATATCTGATCTCAAGACATTAAAATGTAAACAAAATGCAAGGATGGAGGCAAAACAACTCAGAAGCAGACCCACACAGGTGCATACAGTGATCTCTGCTGAAGGTACAATGGTAACTCTATGCAAAAAAAAAAAAAAAAAAAAGGAAGCCTTTTAGCAAACTGTGTGGAAAACGACCTCCACATGCAAGAAAGGAACCTCAGCTTGCACATCATCATTTTCCACAAGGCATAACTCAAAATGTGGTATAACGGCTTTGTATGCCGGAGGCCCTGGGTTAGATCCCCAGTGTACAGAAAATAAAAATAAAACTACATTAAAATGTAAACAATAACTTTTAGAAGACAAATGTAGTGGCGCAAACAAAGACATTTTAGATTCATGACAAAAGAACAGTCAAGATATCAAACGACCAATTTGAGTGTTTCAAAATGTAAAACCTTTGTTCAAGATGAGTAACTTCTGCTCCGTGTATCATATATACAAAGAAGGTCTTGGAAGTAAAACTCACCAAAGACTCTCAGCACTCAACGGTTAGGAAACAACCCTAATAAAAAAAAAAACAAGGACTAGGCAGAGTACTGAGGCTGGGCATATCTTCTTAGCCCTAAGGGCAATGCACACCTGTCAGAGTGGCCAACCGGGAAAACGGAACGTGCATCAGATGCGAGCCTGAAAACCTTGCCTTCCAGATTCCGGGACCCAGCCCGATGGCCTCGGTTGGACCAGACCGCGACGCTTGGACCGGGAAGATCGAGGAGCTCACGTCCGTGTACGGGACACGGCGGGGAGTCGGCTGCAAGTTCCTAGCCGGGCCCAGCCTCAGTTTCCCGGCCTGATTGCCCACGGCCTTTGGCAGGACGATCAGCTGCTTCGATTTCCCCGCCTCCTTCCCACTCATCTCGCACACTCGGCCCTACCCGCCCCCGTTTCCCCGCGCGGCAGGACCCACCGTCCAGCGACACGAACTGGCCGACCGCCGACGAGCCGCCGCCGCTGTTCTCCACGAACTGCACCTCGGACACGATGATGTTGTCCTCGAGCACCGAGCCGCAGCCCGTGCACACTGCATCGCCGCGCGCCGCGTCCAACTCGATGTCCGTGCCGCCGCAGCCGCGGCATACGCGGCCCGTCATGGTGGAGCCGCGGGGCCCGACCGGCCCCCCGCCGCTGAGCTGCCCGTTCTCCGCCCGCGGCCCTTAGCCTGCAAGCCCCGTCGCGCCGCCTCTGTCTGAGCCGCGCTCTCGCGAGGCCGCCGGCGCCACGCCCGCCGATTCGCCGTGGCAGATTCGCCACGCGCTTCTGGGCCGCGCCGCCTCCAACGGCCGCGCCGCGGGACCCAGAAAGGAACGCAGGACGCGTCGGGACCCTGGGACCGAACCGCCAACCTTCCGGCCCGCCAGAAGGGAAGTTCCAAATCCGTAGGCCTCGCGGGCCCCAAGCCAGCAGAGGGGACGGACTTGCAGGTCGCCGAGGAGGGCGGGACCGAGGCGGTGAGCGCCGCCCCGGACCCGACAAGGGCCGTGGGAGGAGCCTGAGAAGAGATGGGACTGTGGGAGGAGCCTGGGGCGGGGCTTAGCGTGACGGGGCCCGGGCTAGGGCTGTGGGCGGAGCCTGGGAATGAGTCCCAAGAGGTGTGGGAGGAGCCTGAAGGCGGGGCCCAGGCCAAGAAGAGGGCCGTGGGAGGAGCCTAAGGAGAGCGGACAGACTGAGAGAGGCAATCTGGAAACAAAGTAGTGGGAAGGGCTTGTGGGCGGTGCTTGCGAGTGTCCAAGGCCCGGCCCAGGGTTGTGGTGGGGCCTGCATGGATTGGGCCAGTGGGCTGTGGGAGAGACCAGGACGGATGTCGAGGGAGGGGCTTGGGGAGTAAGCACGCCCTAAGGCAAGACCAAGAACTTGGGGAGGGGCCAAGTTGTGATGGGGACTAGGGAGTGTTCCCGGCTAAGGTGAACGCTTGCTTGGTCCCCTCGTTCTCCTTAGCACTCCCTATTTCCTGACAAGGACTGGTTTGGGTGACAAGGGTGGTGAGCTCTGGCGAAGCGGAGCCTATATGCACAGCCCTCTGAATCTGCAGGTGCGGCTCACTAGGCAGTCTTTGGGAAGTTTAGCAAATCTTGTGCTAAACTTGCCAAAATCTTCTGCCACAGGTAAGGAACTCCAAAGTTAGGCTGCTGGACGTCGCAGGCAGCTCAGATGAAATTTAAAAGCGCCCTTTCCTGGATTAAGAGAAAGCACTGTAAACTTGAAAACGCCTCACCAGCTTGCAAAACCAGTGTAAACCCAACTGAAATATCAACGGGATGGTTTTTTGTTTTTCGAGACAGGGTTTCTCTGTGTAATAGCCCAGGCTGCCCTGGAACTCGCCACCACCGCCCTGCTTCAACAGGAATTTTTAAAGAACTTGGAAGAGATCTTGAAACAGCAAAGAAAGGGTTGGCGAGATGGCTCAGCGAGAAAAGGGGCTTGTCAAACAAGTCTGCGTGAGTTTGATCCCAGGGACGCCCAGGTAAAGGTGGAAGGAAGTAACCGACTCCACACGTGTGTACCCTCTCCAACATCATACACAACGATAATAAACTTTAAAATCAAAATAGCAAATGAAAGATGTAAAGGATCCAGAGTGCTGTATATCACCCCAGGGATCCCAACCAGCGGAGGGATTCCCAATCAGCTTCAGAAGGTCCAGGACAGCCAGTGCCATGTAGAGAGACCCTGGAGACCATGTCTTTAAAAAAAAAAAAAAAAAAAAGCGCATGCCTTTAATCCCAGCACTTGGAAGGCAGAGGCAGGAGGATCTCTGTGAGCTGGAGGCCAGCCTGGTCTACAGATCAAGTTCTAGGACAGCCAGGACT